AAATAACATTTTATTTGAAATTCTAAACATGGAGGTGTAATTTGAATTTTTCATAGTCAAAATTAATTTTTAAAATGAAGTAAAAATTATTTCAAAAAAAAGACGGGTGATATAGTTTATTTCTCCGCGAGTTCACTAGTTATAAAATAAAGTTGAATAACGTTTCAATATGACTCGAAAAGTTCGTATGATCACTTCACTTTTCATTATCACTTCAATTTTCTTCTTCGCTACTCAGTGTCATCTTTACCATTATGATTTTATGTCCGCCATTAACGATGTACCCAAAATCACCATTACTATCTCTTCGAAAAATATGGAAAATTTTGCAATTCATGAAAATATCTCTTTACCTGTATCTCAGGTGAATTCACTATTACCCGATTCAATTTCATCTGTATCGATTCTAATGCCGGATTGGGAAGTATTTGTTATTGTCTCGCCCGATTATACTCATCTAATTTCTCATCACAATTCTTATATTTGCGTATTCGAAACAGGGGAAATTTCACCGGCGATTCTCGCCGGTGAGCTTCAATTTCCAGCTCGGTCTTTGTTCAAGTGTGAGCTACCGAAGAGATCTCGCTGGAGATTGCCGTTTAAACAACCTAAATTGATAAAATCGTCTGAAAATAGGAATATTACGCCGGCGCCGGCGACATCGCCGGAGATGTTACGGTGGACTTTTCTCGTTTATGATTCACTAACGACGGACGACGACGTCGTTTTATTTGTTAAAGGATTGAAAAATCGTCAGGGGATTAATAAAGGATTGAATAATCGTTAAGGGCTTAATAGAGAATCTAGTGAATTTAACTGTATTTTTGGGTATGGGGGTAATAAGGTAATTAGAACCAACGTAACGAGTTCGATACAAGAAGTTTTTTGATGTAATCGTCCTGATCCAACTGTTTTTGAGGGAGAGAGGATATCCGTCTCTCTCGAAATTATACTACCTGTCCAGTGGTTGTACCTTCTGTGGCGTATTACACTAGACCGCGGAAATTGGAAGGTAACGAGAAGTTAGAAAGAGCTCGTGTTTGCACATGTACTATGGTGTATAATGTTGGTAAATTCTTAAAAGAATGGGTATTGTATCATTCGAAGATTGGTGTTGAAAAATTTGTATTATACGACAATGCTAGTAATGCTGATTTAAACAATGTTGTCGATGAACTTGTTCGAGATGGCTATGATGTTAAAACTTATTCTTGGGTATGGCCTCAAACTCAAGAAGCTGGTTTTTCTCATAGTGCAATTTATGCTAAGGATTCTTGTTCTTGGATGATGTACATTGATGGGGATGAATTTGTGTATTCACCTTTGTGGTCGAAATTATCGCATCCATCGAAATCTCTATTACCTTCTATGTTACCAAATCCCAAGAATGTACCAAATTCGTCACTTGATAAGAGACATATCGGGGAAATTACCATCTCGTGTTATGAATATGGACCATCAAACAAGAAGTTTCATCCTATAACGGGAGTGACCCAAGGATACAACTGTAGAAGAAAGGTTGAGAATAGACACAACTCTATAGTATTATTGGATGCTATTGATCACTCTTTGTGCAATGTTATTCATCATTTCATACTGAAACAAGGGTACAAGATAAAGAAAGTGAATGCTTGTGATATGGTATTGAATCACTACAAGTTCCAAGCTTGGTTTGAATTAAAGGCTAAATTTAGGAGAAGGGTATCCGCTTATGTTGTCGATTGGACTAAAGAATTGAATCCACGTTCAAATGATCGAACCCCAGGACTAGGATTTAGTTCGGTTGAGCCTAAAGATTGGCCATTGAAGTTTTGCGAGGTATATGATAATGGTTTAAAAGATTTGACAAGGAGATGGTTCGGACTAAAGTCTCCAAATCGGATACATTACCGCATGGTATGGCAAAGATGACGAGTTAGAATTGATTGATGTATAGAATACAATATTAAAAAATATATTTGTACATTTCAACAAATTTTTAGTTTAAGATCAGATGATTTGAAAGTCTTTTTATTTTTTAAGATTTCATGTTAGATCAAAATCAAGCAAATAAATTAAAATAGAGGGTTCATTATTACTTTATTCTTGGTGTTATATTCGATGGTAAGGCCAAGCCCGCTCCCGTATGCATCTTCCTATATATAACAATCTAAACACTTGATATTTAAGTTTAATCGTTATTAGATATAAAATATGTCATTAATTTTTTTTATATTGACTAATAAGGAAGGTTAGTAACACATCAAATGATATTCGAACATGTGCTTTCTACGAACATGTGTGACTTAGGGTGAGGCTAGTAAAACGTTTGATTTATGCCCCTATAATTTGAGCCACCAAAAAAATTTAATAACGAATTAAAAGAAAGGTACGTATTTTAAATAGAAAAAGAAAGAAAACAAATTTATCTACTTTTTATTAGAAATATTTTGTAACTCTGAATTAAACAATTCAAATCTTCGTATTAATAAATGAAGTTCTTACAACAACATCCAAATTCCAAGCTAAATGTATATATGTAAGCAAATGAATAACATTTTATTATCTTCAATGCATTTTTCTTATATAAATATTAATATCAATTAATATGTAAAGTTAAACTTTTAATATCTTTTAAGAATACAATACTTTACACTATATGATGATGTGTATCTGTATTTATTTAAGGCCACTTATTATTATTACGCCCTTCTATCCTGATCTATCGTTTCTATCAGCAAAATTCTCTTTTCTTCACCTAACTTACCTACTTTTGCTCCTACTGGATCCTCCAGTATTATCATCTTCCAAATTCTCATCTTTTAAGTTATTATGGCCGGAAATATCCTTACGATTTTCTTTTTCATTACCACTTAGATTTTCTTCTTTGCTACTCTATATCACCTTTACCTTCGTGATTCTATCTCCTCCGTTGATAACAATTATCTCCAATTTTCTGAACCTCCACCACCACCACCGAAAATCACCACCATTACTATCTCCTCCCCACCCCCACCCCCAAAAATTGCCATTACTATTTCCTCGAAAAATTCTGATAACCTCGTTATTCATGAAAATATCTCTTCACCTATAACTCCATATAAACAAACTGATGAAATTCAGAGGGATTTGGGGATTTTCTTTATGTTGATTATTCAAGATAGATTTCATACAATGAGGATTAGACCTCTACTTATACACATGGCAGTAACTGCCTTCAAATATATTCTAACTACCTTCCTAACAATATTAACAAACTAACTAATTATATTATTATCACATTTAACTAATTACTTAACAAACTTCTTCTATGCTATCTTCAATACAAACCATCAATCCCAAAAGCTAGCTCATGAGGGGAACATTGCCCAAATCCATATAAACAAACCATCAGCCCATTTCCCAATCAACATGGGACTCTAACCCACTCTAACACCCCCCCACCTCACCCCTTTACGCCCAGACCCCGTGGAGCATGAGCCCAAATGGAAATAGATCTGGCTCTGATATATCATGTAAAGATATGACACCTGAGCCTAACTCAACCACAAAAGCTAGCTCATGAGGGGAGAATTGTCCAAATCCATATAAACAAAAATTCAGTTCATTCCTCAATCAATATGAGACTCTAATCCACTCTAACAAATATAAGGTGGGCTCTTCATAATATAAGGCACAAAGAGGATGGGAAAGGGAAATAAACGTAAAAAAAACCTATACTAGACATTATATAAAGGTACAATATTAACCATCAAACGTTCAATTTCACGAACCATAATTACTAAACATTCTCAAATGACTCTAACAACACACCTAGATTGAATAGCAGACACTTAAACTTTAAGTTCACATTTTCAGCACTGACTTTGAAACAAAATTAGATGAAGCAAGAACAATAAGCAGAAACAAACAGTACCTAGTAAAAGCATGGTTTATCGATAAATTGCTTCCCGGCAGCTGGTTACTGCAATGGATGAAAATGTTACTACTACTGATAATCACAGGTATTTGGAAAAGAAAGAAAAAAGAAACAACTTGGAAGTACCATTAGAAGACTTGTTGGGTCAACTTAGTGTGTGTGTGTGTGTGTGTGTGGTGGGGGGGGGGGGGGGGCGACCACAAACTAGGAACATAACAAGACTTGACTATTATATAAAGTTGACTCGGACTCACACAGGGACGGAGGTAGTTTTCAGGACCGAACCCATTAGCATGGGTGAAATCATGTATATGTGCAAAGAAATTTATTAAATATGTACAAAAGTTGAATTTAGAAACCTAAACGAGCAGTTGAGTTTGTTATCCTAGAATCCATAACCTATAAAGTTCAAATTATTTATGGTTTGACATTCCTTTTTACAGGATATCGATTAATAGCTCATTGAATTTTTTAAAAAAAAATTCTTGACCATGAATATTTACCTTGCATTTTGAAGTATCTTCTTGTAATATTTAAGTTACTAACTAATACATTTATATTACTAACCTATGTGAAGCAATAAAATGTTATGTTGAACTGGTTGAGTAACACATCATTTACATATTTTTTTCAAGTATTAACCGGTGAAATTATTAATTTTTCCATGTATAATAGGTGAAAATTTCTTGAGCCGAGGGTCTATTGAAACAGCGTCTCTACCTTCTCCTCCCCAGACCCCACTTTGTGGGACTACACTGGGTATGTTGTTGTATAATATCTTTCCTAGAGGCATTGCACAACGAGTGAACTAATCAATATTAGTAGGAGAAGCAAATTACTGCTTTCTCTCTAAAGAAAGACATTTAAGCAAATGAATACAATGTTTCATGGATATGAGCCGAGGATCTTTCGGAAATTTACCTCTCTACTTCCACGAGGCAGTGGTAAGGTTTGTGTACACTCTACCCTCCCCAGACCCCACTTTGTGGGATTTCACTGGGTATGTTGTTGTTTCATGGATATCAAGAACGAGAAAGTTCTGTATATATTAGAAATTACAGGCGAATCACACGTAATCATTGCAAATTTAAATGTACAGAGGATAATAAGGGCCTCACTGAGTAGACTTAAAATACATAACTAATGCATCAGGTGAAACTGAAGTGCAAATTATTGAAGCATTGCTTACCCAGTAGCTAACTACTTGTTAGCATCAAGAGTTTGAATCTGATAACCGATGATGAATGGTAACACAGCTCTGATTGAAGAAGCCTTGGAGATTCACTGTTCAGAATCTTAGCAAGCTACTCGTTGGTGTGACTTTCATCAGAAGTATGATCAGCATGCTCCCACTGCCACGAAGAAAAATATGTTTTTGTAAGTCCATTGATCAACAAAATCTCGAGCAAGAAGCATAAATATTCAAACCTTGTATATTATGGAAGGAATGATGCTCGTAAACTAGTTATTTGTCTCGACAATAACATAGAGAGTTGAAGGGAGAAACTTACCGGCAAGGGGGTAAAATCATAATCTTTGAAAGTGAGAATCAAATCCCAACGCCTCATGAACTGATGGACATTCTGTTTGAACTCTTCTGGCATGTTGGTTATGATCAATTCCCTGAGACTTTTTTTTTTCCTCAGTCTTTCGGGAATGCTCATCAGTTTATTACAGCATCGGATATTTATCTCTTTGAGCTTCTCCATTGCCGCTTCCTCCACGTTCCACTTTTCCAAGTTCTTCAGTTTCCAAATCTTTAGAACCCGAAGCTCTTTGAATCCTCCCTGAGGGCACACCATTTCCTTCCCCATATAGGAATCAGCTAGAAGCCTGAGGACATTAAGATGCTCAAGTTTCCCAAGAATCGGCATAGGATCCTCTGTCAGCTTTGAAAGAGACAATGTGACTACTTTAAGCCCTTCAGGTAAGTATTCAGGCAGATTTGGTAATTTACCTAGCAAGTTTAGGTGGGAAAGATTGCTCAGACTCGACAGAGACAACGGCTCGTCACCAAAATGTGATGGATGTCCTACATCATTTATGGATCGTAACCTCAATGATTGAAGAGAAGTTAAATTTGAAATCCAGTTGAGAAGGTGGTCACAATTCTTTAAACAGAAAGTAATGCCTGCCTCTCTAAGATTACGCAACCGATCCAGTCCATTCTTCACTGGGCTATCATCATCTACAGACAATCCCCACAGTGTAAGGAGTGTAGGCAAAGAATCGGTATCTGAATGCTTTGGCATGTCAAGACGGATGTGACTGAGATTGAGATGCCGCAATTTCTTTGATTTCCACATGGAGGTGGGTAAGTTATTTATGTTAGTGTGCTTCACATCTAATGTCTCAAGATATGGCAAGTCACCAACGGACGAGGGAAGAGCATCCAAGAAAGTCCATCTTAATCCTAAGTATCTCAAGTGAAATAAATCACCAAGATTCTCAGGTAAACTTGGCTTATACACTCCTTCCAGGTCAAGCACCCTCAGCAATACGAAACCCTTAGTAATTACGCGACTTAGAAGGATGCCTACTTCCTTGGCTGGGATGTCTTTCCTCTGGAAATTGAATGATAAGTAAGAGCGAAGATGTTCAAACTGGGAAGCATCACTATAAATATTCTTACTGCTTGCATGCTCAACAAGCCTTCTAACATTCAAGGGAACTGAATCTTCTGTGCTACATGTACTGCAGTGAACATGGAATAACCTGATGTTCTGGGCCTCAGGCAACAGATAGCCATGGAGAACGCCTAGTAACCGACATCTCCTGGGACTGCCATCAGACCTAAATTTGGATATCTGAATCAAGCTCCGCTTGACTAGATCATCAAAGTTTTCTTGTACCACATCCTCCGGGAATTTATATGGTTTGGGGTTTACAAAACCCTCTGAAAGCCACAAACGAAATGGCCTCCTTACCGGAATGTCGTACTCTTTAGGGAATAGCACCAGGTAGAGTACACAGTTTCAAATGGTCAGGCAGATTCATATAGCTAAGGGATACAATGTCCTTCGTTTCCCGGTTTGTGCACAGTATCTTTTGAAGATAATCAAAGTGATTGGTATCTCCCTTGATCGACAACATGCTGCCAAGAAGGACAGTATTCAGGGGGAGGCCACCGCAGACCTTCAGAACTCGCTGCTTCAAATCTTGATGTTCATTTCCTTCCTCCCAAGTATCCCAACCAGCTTTCTTCATGAACAAGTTCCAGCTATAGTTATCACTTAGCTTTTTCACCTTATGGATACAATTCGGAGGAGATACATACCACATCGGACTAACACTGGTGGTGATGAGAAGTAGTGTACTTCCATTTCGACTGTCTAAGAAAACAGATCTCAGGCCTTCCCACATCTGCTCACTCTGTACGTCATCCAACACAATCAAGTAGTTTTTTCCATTTAAGCACTCCAAAAGTCTAGTTTCCAGCTCATTGGGAGTTAGATCCACAGAGTCCTTGGAATCCCCCACCTGTTTTAGCAAGTTCTGCAATACATCTGATTTATTATACTCTTTTGGAATGGTGACCCATGCGCATCCAGACTCGAAATGATTTTTGATTTTCCTACTTCTGTATACAGCACGAGCCAAAGTAGTCTTGCCTGAACCCATCTCACCAGCAATTTGAACGATCGGGGCCCTTTCATCATCAGCTGTCATGGTTAGTCTTTCCACTAAGTCATACACTTCTTGTCTAATGCCAAACATCTCCAGTTCTTCGTCATCATAAGAATTTGTGTACATGAGTCTGGCTTGTGTTTCATGGTCTGACCACAAAGACTTGTCGCTGATGCACCTCAGAGGTATATTTGTAGACATGAGTTTTGCTTTTTTTTCAGAGTCTAACCTCAAAGGCACATCACTGATGCACCTCAGAGGTTTTCTATCTACCTCCAGGACTAGTTTCTCTCTCTCTGGGATCATAGGATAACTACATTCTGCCTTTGGACTTATTAGTCTGACTTTTGCAGAATCTTCACCGTTGTGATCTTCAATATCTCCATCTTCAGCTTCCCCACCATTCTGATTACCCATATAGGTGGTTGTCCCACTGCTACACGCTCTCTGTTCACCAGTACCTTTGTGATTTTTATTGATCACCCGTTTAATGTCTGAAGGGATTCTCTCCATCTTCTTTGTCAGCTTGCAAGCCATGAAGTTCTTGAGAACCTGAGAGTGATTCATAAGGAAGCTCCATTTCTTGTTCTGACGGGCGATGTCAAGGGCAAAAGACTCAACAGTGTCCTCAACATAGTACAGACTATGCAGACACCTTTCAGCCCACTCCTTGAATTCTTCGCTATTTCTTTCCTCCTCGTTTGTGTCAGCAATGTCGCCTTGCATTTCTTCTAAAGCTTTCTCTATCACCCTTTTGTTCGTTATCTCGTCAGAGAGTGTATCCTTGAGTTTCTCTATCACCACAGAAGCTTCTGCCGCCAGCTCCATTTGTCCACAAGGATGCAATAGGCAAGAGCAACAGCGAATATTACGAAGATCCAAACCTACAAGTTGATCCGGTGAAAATTGTAAAAAACCACAACAACAACCGGTGAAGGTAGAGTGTACACAGACCTAACCCTCGGCTCAAGAAAAACAGTCAAAATTGTTATAAGACAAGGGACCTGATATTCACATAAGACTAGTTTAATTAAAGGAGTGAGCTAAAATAGACACTTTTTTCGCTCTTCTTCTTCTTCTCGTGTTATTGTAACAAGGATTGTCAAGTTGAACTCACACTCAGATATAAACAAATCAAGGATGAAATGTTAAAAAATACTACCTAGTACCTCAAATATCAAACAATTTAATAGTACATCGTATTAATTGAAGGTTAAATGTGTTTAGTCGGATCAAGAGGATGGAATTCACCAAAAATAAGTGTAAATATTCGACACAATATGAGCAAATTTCCCTTTACCAAGGCTGGGAGTTATACACGGGCTAACGATAATCTAGTTAAAATCTCTTTTGGCTACTACTAGTTCATTTCCAGTTGCATATTTGAACTCATAGCAGCAACTAAATCCACAACTTTAAATCCCAATAAAGTTGTCTCCGTGTGGCCTATAAGTCGGAGGTACGAGCCATGGAAGCAGCCACTAATGCTTGCATTAGGGTAGGTTGTCTACATCTACATATGTTCCTTGGACTCTCCAAAAATGTTGTTGCACCCGCGTCAGATCCTTCAAAAATGCACTACTTTTGGAGGATCCAACACAAATCCGTCGATATTTTGAAGAGTCCAAGCAACATATAGGTCTACATCACACCCCTTGGTATGCGGCCCTTCCCGGGACCCTTTGTAAACATGGGATGTTTTACGCATCGTTCTGCCCTTAATGCCAATTATCCAAGACATAGATCTAAGCAACTCTAGAACATTAACCAAACCCATCTACAGATTAAGTCACATTTACATCATGAAACTCAGAATTCAACACTAATCCCTTCACCATACAACAACAACAACATACCCAGTATAGTCCCAAAAAGTGAGATCTGGAAAGGATACGCAGATCTAACCTCTAGGTAAAATGGTTGTTTCCGATAGACCCTCGGCTCAAATAAAATTAGTCTAGAAAAAAAACTGTAATGAAAATAAAGAAAACAACAGACAGTAATAAAACAACAAATAGTAGCATAACAATACTACAACAAAATAATACTATAATCAAACTACTCGAAACAACGTATAATAATCAGAAATCAAAGAAGAAGAAACAAGAGTAATTCTACCCTAAGCCCTTCACCATATCAGAAGAAAATTGGCTATAATTATGGAATCAATACCCATAAACAATGTAAATCGACATCTACAATAATTCTAACCAGAGGCGGATCTATTAAGGCATGTGGGGGTGCCACGCCACCCCCGAACTTCGACGGAAACTCTATATATACATAGGTATATATATATAATATTTATATTTATATAAAGCGTGTCACCCATAGAACAAAATTGGCTTGTGGTGCCACGGTAGGAGGGCAACTTTAGAAGGCTGATGTTGCGGGTTCGAATCCCATTTGTACCTATGTTTTTTAGAAAGACATTGTTTTAAGAAAAAGGAAATTGTTGCACACGTTCTTTTAAGAAAAATTAGAGAACTAAAATTAATTTATATTGAAAAGACGAATAATTTAATCAAATATAAAATTAATTTAATCGATAAATCTATTTGGCACCCACGAAGTCTAAATCCTGGATCCGCCACTGATTCTAACCATGTATAAATAGTGCAATTTTCCATCAAAGAGCCAAAGTTTTATATGAGCACAGTACTATAAATTTACGTGTAAAATTCATTAAAAAATTGTAACAAATAGTAGATCCGAACCCATAACTTTTAAAATTCCAATGAGTTGAATACAAAAAATTCTTTAAAAATTAAACTCATAAAACTTAAATTCTAAATTTACCTCTAACAATATAGCAGCAAAATAAGAAACAATTTTATAATTTTTTGAGAAAAAAAAATACCTGAAAAAGAGCTCTGGGAAAAACACTCTTTGAGAATTGTCTAATGAAAAGTAAATCACAAAGACTACCAATCTTTTTTTTTTATAATCGAGAAATTTTTGAGGGCCAGTGACACACAATTCGAAAAAATAGTAGCAATAATTTTCCAAAGATCAGTACTCCCTCCGTTTCACAAAGAATGACCTCCTTCCTTTTTAGTCAGTTTCAAAAAAATGACCTCTTTCCTTTTTTGGTAACATTTTACTTTTTGCTTTCCACGTGGCATGTTTAAGACTACAAGATTAAGGGCAATTTTGTACATTTGACATAACTTTAATTTAGGACCACAAGATTCAAAAGTCTTCTTTAATTTCTTAAACTTCGTGCCAAGCCAAACCAGACCAATCTTTTTGAAACGGAGGGAGTAATAACATATTATTCGAAATTCGATGAATAATGAACTTGTTACGAAGATTATGGGAAATTGTAATAGTAATTTCGCCATGAAAATGAAGTCAAAAGTCAAGCAGATTAGGTGCAAGTGTTCCGTACAACTTTTATTGGAATTTCATGCAAATAGTTGAGTTTTTTTTTTTTAATGTTCTTTTAAGTAATAAAAAGTATTTTTTTAATAATATTTGTATATAATTTAGATTAATATTACAAGAGGCAATGGGTGGGGATGGAGGTTGTGGGGTAGGGGTGAAAAATAATTTTTCAATTTTTTTTTATCCAATTGAACATGAAAAATTAAAAATATTTAATTTCCTCCGTATAGAATACATCAAGCTAGCTAGGTGACCATTAATTAGTTTATATCACTTATATATTATCATTTTACTTTTTAATTAAATTATGAATTGATTATTTATACATATTAAAATAATTTTTAAAATATAAATTCATGATTTGAGTCGAATTTGTAACTTTAAGGCTGATTTCACCCTTGCGAAGAAGTAGTTAGGTAAATACATAAGATTTATGAGTTTGAGTTTAAATTTTAACTATAACACCTTTTATTTATCATGTTTTGTTCTGATATATTTTTGAATATATATTAAGGTCTTAATTTTTTTTAAATAAGCACTTTTAACTTTTAAAAGCTCAGTAAAGTACTAACTTATTTGGTCCCCAGTTCACATTAGGACAAATTTGAATATTAAACACACTCCTAAATTATTAGTACTAAGAAATGACAGTAATACTCATTCAAAAAGTGATATTTGGATTGACTTGGTCAAAGTTGACTTTATCTAAAGTATAATAGAGGACAATATTAAATCTTTTTAATTTCTTCTAATATTTATGAATGTAGTTAAAAGCTTAACTTCAATATTTTTTTGGATTTACTTGAAAGACTCAGCTTTATCGAAAAAAGACCCTGTCCTTTAGATTCATTGAAAGAGATCCAGAAAGCAATGGCTTTTCTAAAGAGTAACTTTCGCATATATCCACTCAAAAATAAGTTAATTATGATTCATAGTTATAATTTGTTTATTATGATTTGTAGTTATATGTTACATGGAGGAGAGTAACAAGCGAGATTGGGAGAGGGAGGAGAGAGGGCAGAGAGGCGAATTGTATATGTATTATATGTCAAAATAATTGTATATATGTAACTGATATACATATGTATTTGTATATTGACGAGCGATTGGGAGAGGGAAGAGAGAGGCGAGTGAGAGAAAGCAATAATTTGTATAATTCGCGGGTACATTTGTATAATTCACGTGTATTTGTATAATTGAGTAATACAAAGTCTGGAATAATACAAATATGATAACACTCAAAATAACGAATTGATACAAACACAAACATATGAACTTTAAACTGTTGTACAAATTATACTATAAAAATTACATTATATAAGTTATATTATACAAAATTTGAAAATTACACGTTTATACAAACTTTTAAAAGTTATACAAAAATAGATTGAAGGTATATGGTAATAAAACTGAAAAATCAAAGAAAATCATCGTCATATACAAATACAAACCATCGTATACAAATACAAATCAAATGAAGAATTGTTAGTTGCGAATTATACAAACTCGAAGTCAGCCCGCACAATTAATGGTTAATGTTAGTCGCGAGTGGTAATTATTGCAAACCATAGCTATGATGACTAATAAGTATAAATTTGTTTAACCGCGTATTTTTTCCTTTTCTAAAAGGCCCCATGATAAGCTATACAATCAAATTGTATTTAGCTCACCCTTAAAAATGTGATCGAAGTGTGTATAAATTGATCTGAACATTAAAAATTTATGAATAAAAAAATATGAAAACACAAAAGATTAAAATTATTAAAATGAAGTCATATCTTAATTTTCTAAAATAACAAATTTAATAACCACAAATTATGAAGTTGACAGGACATAAAGCGTGTTTTGAATCCTATTTAATTTCCACCTACCAACTTTCCAACAAAAGAGACGTAGAAAAGTTTTGTCTTCTAAGAATGGAAAATGACTTTTTAGAAAAATGTTTTTATTCCATGATTTTTGGCATTTAAATATAAATATAATAACGAAAGTTATTTTTCTTAAAAATTAAAAAAAAATGATTTCCTTCTCTTGGTAAGGAGGACATCTATTTTGACTTTTATCTTTATATTTTTTTTTCACTAATATTAAAATATTATTTTTAATTTTCAAATACTCAGAAGTTTCATCACGAACCAACATGAGTTGTGGTGTGGTGGTGGTACTGTTTCACCCTTAATCAGAAGTCTCGGGTTCGAACCTTCGATATGAAAAAAATTATGTTGGGAGCGCCACCCCCACATGGTTCTACAATGCGGGATTCAAATTTAGTCGGAGCTCCAATGTGTGCTTAGATTGTATTTTTCACTCCACTCTCAAAAATATAATATTTATTAATTGTATTTAGGTTTAAACATTAGGTTAATTTTCAAATATTTAATAATTTTTCAAAATATATATTTTTTAATTTTGAAGATTATATATTTTTTTTCCAACGCATAAAGTCCGCCTCTAGCAAACAGCATACTTGACCAAATCCTTCGTAAAAGGCTGCTATAAATAGAAACAAAACTAAGATTAATAATTCTTTTTCGAAGAATTATTCTCGGTAGGCGTTTGTCCGTATATTTTAGATATATTTTATTTATTTAAAATTTATAAAGGTAAAGTTATGTTTAGTTATATCTTTTGTAAAAAGAAAAGATAGTATTTTATATTCAATTATGAAGATGGTGTTGGAAAATATGTTCCGAGTACTTTTCCAAATTTTAAATCCACCTTCAAGTTCAATTTGGAAATTTATAACCAAATATTAGTTTTGAATTTTATGGCTTTTGTTCAAATCGTAGATTTATTTTAAGAAATTTACTAAATATGAACAAATATTAAAGTTAGAATTTATTTAGTACTATTTGAAGTCATCATTTTAAAATTCAGAACGCATAAAATTAAAATCATAACTCTATCTCTGATAACTAGTTTATTTTAATAATAAATTCATCACCACTATCGTTTTGTTGAATGACACCTACTCATTTTAAAATTGAAATATATTAATTGATAAACATATTACATACTATTATTTCTCACCACTGTCCAATCAAAATCATAATTAGTCTCAAACAATGATTAGGAAATAATAAAACAAATCATTAACCAACAATAATTCCAATTCCTTTTCCCTTAAGAATTTGAATTTCCTACTTTAATTCTAATTAGGAATCCTTCTCTTTCTTATATATGCGCGAGCTATTGATTATTATTGAATGACTTCTGAATTATAAAATAATGTTGAGTAATGTTTCGATATGACTCGAAAAGTTCGTATGATCACTTCAGTTTTCATTATCACTTCAATTTTCTTCTTCGCTACTCAGTATCATCTTTACCGTTATGATTTTATCTCCGCCATTAACGATGTACCCAAAATCACCATTACTATCTCTTCGAAAAATATCGAAAATTTTGCAGTTCATGAAAATATCTCTTCACCTGTAACTCCGGTGAATTCACTATTACCCGATTCAATTTCATCTGTATCGATTCTAATGCCGGATTGGGAAGTATTCGTTATTGTCTCGCCCGATTATACTCATCTAATTTCTCCTCACGATCCTTATATTTGTGAATTTGAAACAGGGGAAGTTTCGCCGGCGATTTCCGCCGGCGAGCTTCAATTTCCGATCCGGTCTTTGTTCAAGTGTGAGCTTCCGAAGAGAGCTCGCCGGAGATTGCCGTTTAAACAACCTAAATTGATGAAATCGTCGGAAAATAGGAATATTACGCCGGCGCCGGGGAAATCGCTGGAGATGTTACGGTGGACTTTTCTCGTTTATGATTCACTAACGACGGACGACGACGTCGTTTTGTTTGTTAAAGGGTTGAATAATCGGCAAGGGTTAATAGAGAATCTAGTGAATTTAAGTGTATTTTTGGGTATGAGGGTAATAAGGTAATTAGAACCAACGTAATGAGTTCGATACAAGAAGTTTTTCGATGTAATCGTCCTGATCCAACTGTTTTTGAGGGAGAGAGGATATCCGTCTCTCTCGAAATTATACTACATGTTCCGGTGGTTGTACCTTCTGTAGCGTATTACACTAGACCAAGGAAATTGGAAAGTAACAAGAAGTTAGAAAAAGCTTGTGTTTGTGCATGTACTATGGTGTATAATGTTGGTAAGTTCTTAAAAGAATGGGTATTGTATCATTCAAAAATTGGTGTTGAAAAATTCGTATTATATGACAATGCTAGTGACGATGATTTAAACAATGTTGTCGATGAACTTGTTCGAGATGGCTATGATGTTAAAACTTATTCTTGGGTATGGCCTCAAACTCAAGAAGCTGGTTTTTCTCATAGTGCAATTTATGCTAAGGATTCTTGTTCTTGGATGATGTACATTGATGTGGATGAATTTGTGTATTCACCTTTATGGTCTAAATTATCGCGTCCATCGAAATCTCTATTACCTTCTATGTTACCAAATCCCAAGAATGTACAAGATTCGTCACTTGATAAGAGACATATCGGAGAAATTACCATCTCATGTTATGAATTTGGACCATCAAACAAGAAGTCTCATCCTATAACGGGAGTGACACAGGGATACAACTGCAGAAGAAAGGTAGAGAACAGACACAAGTCTATAGTATTATTGGATGCTGTTGATCACTCTTTGCGCAATGTTATTCATCATTTCATACTGAAACAAGGGTACAAGATAAAGAAAGTGAATGTTCGTGACATGGTATTGAATCACTACAAGTTCCAAGTTTGGTCTGAATTTAAGGCTAAATTTAGGAGAAGGGTATCGGCTTATGTTGTTGATTGGACTAAAGAATTGAACCCACGTTCAAATGATCGAACCCCAGGACTAGGATTTAGTGCGGTTGAGCCTAAAGATTGGCCATTGAAGTTTTGCGAGGTATATGATAATGGTTTAAAAGATTTGACACGGAGATGGTTCGGACTAAAGTCTCCAAATCGGATACATTATCGTATGGTATGGCAAAAATGACGAGTTAGAATTGATTGATTATTTTTAATTATAGCGATATTTTTTTAAATTTGATTCTTTATGTATAGAATACAATATTAAAAGATATATTTGTACATTCAACAAGTTTTTAATTTAAGACCAATGATTCAGAAAGTCTTTTTATTTTCTTAAATTTTGTGTTAGATCAAAATCAAGCAAACAATTTTAAACAGAGGGTTCATCATTACTAGTTCTTGTTTTGTGCTAATTAATCCTCCCCAAATGCAAGTAGCTAACCTTATTTCTTTTGGAATTAACTTTGAGCTGTTACTGGGGTGCATGGTGACATTTATTTTTCCAAATGATCAATGAAAACAAATGATATAGTTATAAGCTAAATAGGATAATTAAAGAGGTTCAACGTCTAAAGAAACTTGCTAATATCAAGGTAGAACATAACATTATTTCAGAAAGGTCAATAAGGTTGCAGACCATCTTGCTAAATTAACTGCGAGCAGTTAGAATGAGTCTTGCTATGATACCTATCAACAACTTCTTATGGGGGCTAGAGGTTCAATCAAACTGAACCCTTTTACTAGATAGGTTGTCCCTTTTTGCGAGATTTGGAATGTCTGAGTTAGTTTCCCGTACCTTCTTTTTATAAAAGATAAATTCTTTATCCTTGTGTTATATTCGGAGGTAAGGCCAAACCCCCCTCCCATATGCATCATCCTATATATAACAATCTTAACATGTGATATTTAAGTTTAATCGTTATTAGATATAAAAAAATGACATTAATTTTATTTATATATTGACTAATAAGGAAAGTTAATAACACATCAAATGATATTCGAACATGTACTTTCGATGAACATGTGTGATTTAGGGCGAGGCTAGTAAAACGTTTGATTTAGGCCCTAAAATTTGAGCCACCAAAAAAATTTAAAAACAAATTAAAAGAAAGGTATATATTTTAAAAAGAAAAAGAAAGAAATCAAATCTATCTACTTTTTATTAGAAATATTTTTAAAATCTGAATTAAACAATTCAAATCTTCGTATTAATAAATGAAGTTCTTACAACAACATCCAAATTCCAAGCTAAATGTATATATGTAAGCAAATGAATAACATTTTATTATCTGCAATGCATTCTTTCTTTTATAAATACTAGTTTTTTAACACGTGCGTTGCACGTGTACCTGTATTATTCTAAAAATATTTTGAATTAATACAAGTTAGTTATATATAGTAGATTGAAGGGAGAAAATGCAAGTTTAAATTGATGAATGGTGAGTTTATTCGACCGACTTAGTTGATGAGCATAAGATTATTGAGTATTATTTGAACAATTAAATTTAGTGGTAAAACTATAATGATATTCAACTTTACCGTTTGATTGATTTTTTTTTTATATTTCAACAACACAGTTTATAGATGTGTGAATACAAGTGTCATCGGCTAGCAAGAAATACTTTACTTCTTGTAGTCTTTTACGGTGTATCCTTAAGAAATTGTAGTCTCTTTTTTCTTTAAGGTTCAATCAATATATGTCTTCTTTAAGATGAATATTAGTAATGTGAATAATGGTGCAAGGTTGCAAATAAGTAATATTTATATTGTCCCAATTACCTAGTTCGAATTTCTACAAACAAAAAGTGTCATATAAATTGAATTGAGGGAATAGTTATTGTGAAATAGATAGTTAGTAAATACTGACATTAAAAGTTTTATTGAAATCATAGTTACATGTATATGATCCTTTTGCCTGATTCAAAATTATAACTACTTTAATTTGTAAATTTGAATTTTTTTTTTTGTTATAATGTATAAGTATAATCATATAATCAAATATAACTTATACTTAAAATCTAAAATCTTTTAGGTACAATATAGGCAATTATTTCAAGCAGTTTATGTAATAATCTCATATAGTAATAGAAAATGAGTTTAAGATAGACCAAATAATAAATACCATTTTGTATTCATTTAGAAAGTGACTGGACATTATACAATTGCATTGCCCTCTTGTGTATCATGCAAATTTTAACTTTTCAATTGTTGATTAAAAAAAAAGGTAAAAGGCAGAATGATTAGGAAAGAGTAGATATTTTTTTAACAATAAACAAGACATAATGTAAATATATGTCAAAGGCTTTCATTTTATTGGCCTAATTGTTGAAATCTTGTGTGAGTTTAGCTGTAAAATACTTACTAATATAAATTTGAATGTGATATTCCAGATGTGTATCTAAATTAAAGATTAAAAAATAAATAAAGAAGCACAAAAGAAGAAGTTGAGAACATTATAAATCATTACTAAAATAAATATCAGAGAAATTCAAAAAGATGAAAATTTGAAAAGTAAAAACTTACTTATAATATCAAAATCTGAAGAATCCCCCGTAACTATGACAATGTGTATACTCCTCAATAAAAAATGATAATAATTAAGAGATTAGAGATAATTGAATGAACCAAAATTCTAATTGGTAAAAATCCAAAAAAACAATTACTCATTTCCCTTAATATGGATATAATGCATTAAGGTTTTGCATTTTTTTTTTAATTAGAAAAGAGTGACATAACAATAGACCAACAGAAGAATTGGTCAAAGAGCTCTCATATCGGGCAATACATACACAAAAGTAAAAAAGGTCATACAACAAATGACCTTTTCATTCAGACAAAATAATAATAGTAGTAATAGTAATAGGAGCAACAAACATCAATATCAATTAAACTTTGGGGTGAAAAATTAGAGTAGCAATGTGGTTAAACAGTTAAGGGCATTTTGGTCCTCCTTTTTTGGTCTTCCAGTTGTTGTAGCAAGGGCAAACACCTTTGTTTTCATAGAAACCAGGAGGAACACATAGTCATGTCTTGCAGCATTTCTGGCAAAAGAACATGCATGGCTTGTGGTACTGTGTCTTGCTACATCTTCTTGTACATTGTGGACCATACCTTGAACGATTAAGGTTTTGCATTGAAACACAACTCCAAACTCATATTTCTGATAGCAATTTCACATTTAATAGTATCTGATATATTACAAAGTCCCTTGAATAACATAAATTTTTAGGCATTTCAAAAGTTACGGTTACACTTCTAAAATGCATGCATTATCAAACGTTATAAAATACAAAATGTTTCATATGCATAAAAAAACTAAAATCATAAAAAAAAATTAAAACTACTTCATGACAAAGTTTGTAGGAATAAAGTACCTTCTGAAGCACACAAGTGTATTTATAAGCTAAGGAATAGATCTTAAAGGTATATAGAAATCAAAAGTCATGCTGATTTTTTTTTATAGATATTCAAAAGTCATGCTGAAATAAAAGGTATACAAATAACTCTTGGGTTCTTCATACATGCACTTGCATTAAAATTGTACTTATTGCTAGGAAGTTGAATCACGTAACTCTAATGCCAAGGAAAGTATATACAAGTTATATTACTTCTTTTGGCTAATTCATTATACAATATATTTAATAATTATTTAGTAATGCTAATAAATAACTCATAATCTAAAAAATAATTAAAATATTATTACTTAATATTTAATTAATTAGGTTCTTAAAACATTTTAATTAACATCAAGGGCAAAACTGTAATTCAACTTTGAAGAAAAAATCTTCCCACTTCTTTTAATATCTTTTAAGAATACAATACTTTACACTATTATGATAATGTGTATGTGCATATATTTAAGGCCTCTTATTATTATTATTACGCCCTTCTATTCTGATCTATCATTTCTATCAGAAAAATTCTCTTTTCTTCACCTAACTTACCTACTTTTGCTCCTACTGGATCTTCCTGTATTATCATCTTCCAAATTCTCATCTTTTGAGTTATTATGGCCGGAAAAATCCTTACGATTTTCTTTCTCATTACCACTTCAATTTTCTTCTTTGCTACTCTGTATCACCTTTACCTTCGTGATTCTATCTCCTCTGTCTCCTCCTCCTCCGTTGATAACAATTATCTCCGACTTTCTGATCCCCCACCATCACCACCACCACCACCACCACCGAAAATCACCACCATTACTATCTCCTCCCCACCCCCACCCCCAAAAATCGCCATTACTATTTCCTCGAAAAAATCTGATAACCTCGTTATTCATGAAAATATCTCTTCACCTATAACTCCATTTCAAATTTCTCTGTTACGTGGTCAAATTTCATCTGTATCAATTCTAATGCCTGATTGGGAAATTTTTGTTATTGTTTCTCCGGATTATACTCATGTAATTTCTCATCACGATCCTTACATTTGTTCATACGGAACAGGGGAGATTTCCCCTGCTATTCCTGCAGGGGAGCTCCATTTTCCGGTCCGGTCTATGTTTAAGTGCGAGTTTCCAAAGAGAGCTCGCCGGAGATTGCCATTTAAATCACCCATATTGATGAAATCAACCGAAAATCGAAATGTTAGCATGATATCAACAATGCCGGAGCTGTTAAGGTGGACGTTTCTCGTTTACGATTCTCTAACAACAGATGAGGACATTGTTTTGTTTGTTAAAGGGGTGAATAATCGTCAAGGAATTAACAGAGAACCCAATGAATTTAGCTGTATTTTTGGGTATGAGGGTAATAAGGTAATTAGAACCAACGTAACGAGTTCAATACAAGAAGTTTTTCGATGTAATCGCCCTGATCCAACTGTTATGGAAGGAGAGGGAGTACCAATCTCTCTCGAAATTTTACTTCCTGTTCCAATGGTTGTACCTTCTGTGTCTTACTACAATGCACCACGAAAACTGGCAACTAACAAGAAGTCAGAGAAAGCTCGTCTTTGTGCATGTACCATGGTGTACAATGTTGGTAAATTCTTAAAAGAATGGGTATTGTATCATTCAAAAATAGGTGTTGAAAAATTCGTGTTATACGACAATGCTAGTGATGATGATTTAGAAAAAGTTGTCGACGAGCTTGTTCATGATGGCTATGATGTGAAAACTTATTTTTGGGTATGGCCTAAAACTCAAGAAGCCGGTTTTTCGCATAGTACAATTTATGCTAAGGATTCTTGTTCTTGGATGATGTACATTGATGTGGACGAATTTGTGTATTCACCTTTATGGGCTAATCTATCGCGTCCATCTGAATCTCTATTGCATTCTTTGTTACCAAATCCTAAGAATAAACAAGATCCATTGCTTGACAAGAGACAAGTCGGGGAAATTAGTATCCCATGTTATGAATTTGGACCATCGAATATGAACTCTCATCCTATAACAGGAGTGACACAAGGATACAACTGCAGAAGAAAGATCGAGAATAGACACAAGTCTATTGTATTCTTGGACGCGGTTCATCACTCTTTGCTCAATATGATTCATCATTTCATATTAAATAAAAGGTATAGGGGAAAGAAAATGAGTGTTCATGATATGGCGGTGAATCACTACAAGTTTCAAGCTTGGCCTGAATTTAAGGCTAAATTTAGGAGAAGGGTATCGGCTTATGTTATTGATTGGACTAAAGAATTGAACCCACGCTCAAAGGATCGAACCCCAGGACTAGGATTTAGTCCGGTTGAGCCTAAAGGTTGGCCATTGAAGTTTTGCGAGGTATATGATAATGGTTTAAAAGATTTAACACGGAGATGGTTTGCACTAAAGTCTCCAACTCCGTTACATGAATACCGTATGGAATGGCAAAGATGACTAGTTAGCGTCTATGTTGCTCAGACCCTTAAAAGATGGTATGACACTCGTGTTAGGTCCTTCAAGAATACATAACTTTGAAGATCATTTTGAAGGATCCGAGCAACATATAGGTCGAAATTTTTCTTTAAGAGTTATATATTACTCATGTATATTATGACACATTGATTTTTTGCTATCATTGATTGAGCACCAGCTGCAAATTTACAGCCTGAATTGTGATCACTAAGAAGCTTAGAGGAAACCTTTTTTTCTTTTTCTTGTATAGACATTTTATTGTTGTTTTATTAATAACTAGTTAGATTTCCTCATTAAATTCTTTGTTTTATTCATTCAAGGTTCATTACTGTCTCGTTTTAACTTGTTTGTCTTACTTTCATTTTTATTTTGTTTGGAAAGGAGTGACTCTTTCCTTTTTTTGACAACTCTTTGATTTCAATTTTTCACACGACATACTTAAAATATAAGATTAAAAGATATTCGGATACATTACTTATGTTTTTAGTTTAAGACAAAAAGATTCAAAAGTTTTTGTTTTACTCTTAAGTTTCGTATCAAATTGAAATCAGACAAACAAATTTTAATTGAGGTTTCATTATTAGTTCTTGTTTTGTGCTAATTAATCCTCCCCAAACTCAAGTAGCTAATATTATTTCTTTTGGAATTATTCTGGTGTAGTTTGCATGGTGGCTTACAAAAATACTTCTATAGTTTGTAGTTTAAAAAAAAGCACAATTTTAATGAAATTTATGTGATTAGAAAAGCATACTATACAATTAAAGGTAAAAATAAGAAAATGACATTTATTTTTTAGGTAATATTGACTAATAATAAGGAAGGAATTAACATCACCATCAAATGGAATAGAGGATAAGATATTTGACCATGTGCTTTTTCCAGATCTAACGTCTCTATCAACTATTATTTATCTAAGTTACCTACTTTTGCTCCTACTAGATCCAGGAGGGATTTGATACCTAATTCTCCGATCTATTACTCATTTCTTTCTGACTCGATAAAAATTACACTCTCTAGACTATTGTTAAATTCTTTAAAAATTAATTATTGCCAATTATTAATAAACAAAGAATTGAATGCAAACTAATTGATGAGAATAAATAATGAAGAGGAATATATTTCAAGGTAAATATCGCAAAATACTTGTCATGTTTTACTTTTCGAAAATCAAATATTTATATGAATTTTTATCAACTTTTTAACATATATTTTTTCTATCATATGTATTGATATGATAAGAATTGTAACTTATAGTACTTTCTGTATAGTTTTATTACATATTTTAATAAAAGTTAAAAAATGATATTTAGAAGTTAAAATTATGTCTGAACATCAATTTAACTTTGAAGAAAATACATTATTAGTATTTAAAAAAATTAATCAAAATTACTTTTTCAAATTTGAAACTTATCTTCAACTAGTGGACTATTTTTTGAATGCTCAATTTTCTCTCTCTACGAATTACTCTCTGCCCTCTCTCTATATGCAAGCAATAGAAAGCCAAGGGCCAGCTGTGGCCCCGATGCCCCCACCCCCTGCACCACCAGATCCCACACCACCTTTAACCAATGAGAAATCGACAAGTAACCTTTCCTCCACTGTTCCAACGGCTACTTCCTCTTCTACCGCCCCAACGCCGCCCATGGACACCACAATTCCGGCCAAAAATCAATCTGTCTCTGTATCTCAGAAACCTAATCCCAACTACAACTCCAATCACAAAGAGAATCAAGTGGGTAGCTCTAATCCCTCTTCTAATATGAACCAAGACCAAAGAGTTTCTCACCCCAATCACATAAATAATACCCTTAAAATTTCCTCCAATTTTGATCCCCCGCAAAGACACATTAATGCTCAACAAATTGATCAGCCCCCCACAAGTTTTAATCCTGCCAATAACAATGTCAATAATCTGAAAAATCAAACCTGGCCTCCCCTCTCTGTTTCAAAGCCTTCTTTTGCGTCTACTGTTAGTGCATCACTTGCTCATAGTGCTGTTGGAAAGCAGCCAGTTGATATTAAATATGGAACTCATATGGGTAAGCCCGCAGTTTATTTCACAGCTCAAGATTACTTTGTCAACCTTGCGGAAGACTGTAAGCGCACCATTGTTGGAAAATTTACTAGAGGCAAACCAAGCATGGAAGAAGTTCGAAAACTCTTTGTTAGTCATGTTCCATTGAAAGGTACCGTCAAAATTGCTTACTTTGATCCTAGCCACATTTACATTGACTTTACAAATGATGCGGATTTTTACCATATATATTTTAAGCCTTTCATTACTCTTGGTCCTTATAGTATGAAGATCATTAGATGGACCCCCGATTTTGTACCCGAGAATGAGACCACTATAGCTCCTGTTTGGATTTTAATCCATCAACTTCCTTGGCACTTATTTAGATGGGATATTCTTTCCAGAATGGTTAGCTCAATAGGGACTGCTATGGCTCCAGATATGGCTACCTACTCCAAATCAAGAGGTAATGTGGCGAAACTTAAAGTCGAAATCGATTTGCTAAAACCCAAGCAAGATCAACTATGGGTGGGCTTTAATAGATTGGATTCTAACGTCGAAGATGGTTATTGGTTAGATATTGAATACGAAGGAGCTCCTTCATATTGTCTCTATTGTGCAATGCAAGGCCATGATCAAAATTCTTGTAGAAACAAAAAGAGAGACGAAACTTTCAAGTCTAAAGAGATCCCTAGCAAGGAGGTTGACAATGAACAATGGGAAGTTCCTAAAAATGCTAAAAGGAATGCTTACAAGAACAATGATGAAGGGCTAATGCAAACTGGTCAAAATCCTCAAAACAACAACAATGGAGCTCGGCAGGATTCACTACACGACAACAATACTTATCAGCTTAACACCAAGGTTTTCCATAACCAAAATGATTCCGACTTGAATGTTCAAAAGACTGCTTCTCACAAGATCAATGACACTGGAAAAGACAAAAAGAAGAAAGTCCAATGGATACCTACACAAAACACTTCCCAGATGACACCCAAACAAAGCAACCAAGAAAATACAAAGCAAAATTCTGCAGCCTCTTTACACGGAACTCAACCTAGTACTTCCCAGGCTCCTATTTCTAATCAAATTCGAGGTACATAAAACCAAATTCCTGATACTAGCAACACCCCAGAAGCTTCCGATCCCAAAAACATTATACAAAGCCACATTCAAATGTCTAGCCAAACTGATCGTGTGAACAACACCATTCAAGCTACTAAACGGATTACAATTTTGAAGAATAACAATAAAAAAATACCGCAACACAAACCCCCGGATCCCCCACAAGAACATGGTCCTAACAAATATGAAGCAAGAAATCCCACAAGGATGAACATACATGAAGAAAATGTTGTTTCTGACTATGAAAGTGATAATGGCGTGGATTCTGATTTTATGACGTCCGACCAAGAACTTGACAACGATGATAATGAAAATCTTATTGTTAGTGATACTGAAGATGAGTATGAAAGTATGGAGGACCAAGCTAACTCTAGTGAAGACAATCTAGATAATATCTCTATCAATAATGATGATACTACTATCCAACATGTTGAAACATTTGTTTCTCAATCTATCCCTGCAAATGAAATTGACCAAGCTTTTGACGATATATCTGACAAGCATAACCTATCTCCCAGAGGACTAGAATCTACAAGAGGAGGTCTGTCATACAGAGGAGGTAGGATAGGACGAAGAGGCAAAGGTATTCCTTCTGTGAAATACTCACAGAACAATGATGATCTATCCGCAACTTTTTAATGATTAAGTCACTTATTTGGAATATTAGAGGCATCAATTCTCAAGGTGCTTTTGACAGACTTATTCAACTCAAAAGAACTCATAATCTCAGCTTCATTGCAGTCACAGAACCTTTCTCTAATAGATCTAAACTGCATAGATATAAAAGAAGATTGGGTTTTGACTTTGCTCATGCCAATCTCAATAATAAAATTTGGATCTTTGGAGACACTACTCTGGATTGCAATGTTATTGCTGACAATGACCAAATTGTCACGTGTTCCTTTAATAACAATGGTGCATCCTTATACATCTCTATTGTGTATGCCAAATGTAAGATGCATCAGAGGCAAGATCTTTGGGATGATATTAAGAACTTTGCTACTGTGAACTCTTCTCCTTGGATGGTGATAGGGGATTTTAATTCCATAATTACTCCAGAAGAAAAGAAGGGTGGTAATGCTCATAATATCTCTAAGAGTATGCCTTTTATCAATTGTATCTTGGATAGTGGTCTTCTTGACATGGGCTTCACTGGCTCTCCCTACACTTGGTGTAATGGTCGGGCTCCTAAAAGGAGGATTTGGGCTAGATTGGATAGAGCGCTTGCCAATTCTGAGTGGATCCAATTGTTCTCAGAATCATCTGTTGAGCATTTGGTTAGAACCGGGTCTGATCATGCTCCTATGTTAATCTCCACCTCCAACTCTCTAAGGGAACCAAAGAAATATTTTCGGTTCCTTGATTTTTGGACAGAACATGAAGGTTTTATGCAAGTAGTTGAAGATGCTTGGATCATTCATGTTGAAGGCAGCCCTATGTGGAAATTTCATCTCAAGCTTAAGAATGTTTGTAAAAGTCTCTCACACTGGTCTAGAAACACAATTGGTAACATCTTTGATAAGACCAAAGAGCTTCAATCTAAGCTTGAAATGCTGGAGAAAAATTGTTTGACTAATAACTCTGAGGCTAACAGAATGGAGTATAATTGCACTAATGCTTTGCTTGTTAGGCACATTAAGAAGGAAGAATCTTTTTGGAGACAAAAGGCCGGTCTCAAATGGTTTAACGATGGGGATAATAACACTAAGTTTTTTCATTCTGTTATTAACTCTAGAAGGAAAAAATTACATCTTTCTAGAATTAAAAAGCAGGATGGCTCATGGATTGATAACACCGACGAATTGCCGCTGAAGCCATTTTGTTCTTTGAGCAACAGTTCTCC